TTGTAAAAAATTTATACCTTTCTTTGCAAGCCGATGTTGTTTTTATTGAGTGGTTCTCTTTTACGTCCTGAGTACGTTACGAAGTAACAATATCAATTGTTCGAGAGTTGGTTGGTTCAGTTATTCGAAATAATTGTGCTCTTATCAGATGTGAAGTGAACGATGGCATCATGATGGCATACAGTGAGGGTGTAGAGAAATGAATTCAAATTTAATTCGTTCAAAGGCAGGACAAACAATATTTTTTTCTTTTTAAATGCTTCTATTTTAAAATCAAGAATTATTTGGAATAATTTTAAAGCAAACAGAAAATATTTAATATATTTTTGATTTCGAAGAACTTTCTTTCTCAAGGACATTTTATAAATTTTTTTCTGTGTCTTGTGTATAACAGGTGCTTTCATGCTTAATGAGAACAGATATGTAAAGATGTGTAAAATTGTTTAAACTTGCGAAATTTAAACGCACGATTTCTTTAAAAAGCAATTGAAACGTAAGTTTTTGTGCGTTCTTCGCAATTTCACGCTTAAGTAAAAAGAAGGTTTTAATTAAAAATTTTTTATTCGTGTACATAAAATATTGGCTGGCGCCTAACAACCTACTTACTTTTACCTTTAATTTCCATTTCAATTTCCCTCATTAAAGGGATTTGTGACAATACTTTAGTCCAAATGTAGAGAGAATGGTAAAAAAATTGCTTCTATTTTCATCAATATTTTTAATTATCAATATTCGACTTGATTTATTTTGGATTTAAATATTTACGATATTAAAATATGAAAAATTTGTGGTTTTGTAGGCACTTAATTGCATTCTGTATTCACGTGCCATTCACTCTGTCATTCGGTTTTTCAACGACACTTCGCTTCTGTTAAAAATCGACCTTTGACTGATCCAGTGTGCTTTAAGAGTTCAACACTTTAATAAAGAAATTTTCTCTCAGCAAAACATATGCATCTAGCAAGCCAGTTCGTCTTCTGCGGTGGTCATAAAAATGTGAGAGATAGAAGAAAATTTCTTTACTTCATTCTTTGAAAAATAACTAAAAAAATGCTATGGCTATTTGGTCACATCTCTTTTTTCAATGTTTTATTTGCATATATTTAAAATCTTCCTTTTGACTTATATATTTAATAATTGTTTTTTTGTAATATTTATTTACTTATATTTTAAAACTATATTTGTGTAAGATAAACATTTCCTACCCAAATACATTCGTAGACAATAAAAGATGACTAGGAGGTCTTCTTACTCAGCGTTTATAACAAGCAAAATTTATACAATATGTGCACGAAACGATAATATACGGAATAGCGTAAAAGGAAAGAAAAAGGAAATAAACAATTTCAAGTCACTAGTCAAGTATATATAAATTCGCCACATAAAAAATAAATGACATGCAACAATTAATTCTGATATAATTTGGGCACATCCAACTATGTAAAGTCTCGCATTGCCAGGATAGATTCATGGTCAACTTTAACACATGCCTTGTAGTTCGTTGTTATGCTGTTAAGATCTCCACACAAGACATGCACACAGTAAAATAGAGTAAAAAAAAGTTTTAGCTTTTCAAATTTTATTCTTAAGATATTTGAATTTCGATTTTGTAGTCAAAACTTTTCAAGTTCAGCAATCAACTCAATTGCTCACAAAATCTCGGTGACAAGCTTGGTTTTTTGCGTTTTTGTACTTCTTTTCAGGTAAACTCGAGTATGCTATTTCAATCTTGGCGAACATTCAGCTTGTACATTCACTATTTTTTTACAAGAGCAAAACATGACATTAATGTATGTATAAGTATCCGATATTGATTACGGTTTTATACCATGTCTATCATCGAAAAGTGGAAGTACCGTCATTTTATCATAACTTCTGCAATACGCTATATATATATTCTTGATTAGTATCAAAATCTGAATCGATCGGTACATGTTCGTGTGTCCGTCACCCCGTCTTTGTAATGCCTATGCAAACTTTCTAAAGCTTTCTAAGCTAAAGACATCGGCCTCAATTTTGAGCGCGTTAGAACATTGCACGTCCTTGCATACAAGTTAGTGCGAAAAACGGACCAGACCGGGAACACTTCTGTTTTCAAAAGAAAAAAAATTTGAATTTTTTGCTCTATACTTATAAATTACTACACAATATATAAGACGATAAAAACGTCCGCGTATGTTTGATACTACGGTATCTGCAAGAAAATGCGAACAGTCAACCCAATCGCTTTTATAGTTTAGCCAATAGTACAGTGTTTGTTCCTTTTTCTTCGACGAAGAAGAGCCTTAAGTGGTTCTTAAAATAAAAGTATAAAGTTTCCACTTATTAGAATTGTCCAACGCTTTTGGATAAATTTAATTTCTTTAATATTGAGAAAGCGAAAGAGAGAAGACAATGTTAATACATACCGTCAACTTTTGTTATATTTTCAAAGGCCAATGCCTTCTTTTTTTTAATAAATGGTCGCGTTAAGAGAATCTGATCACTTTTCACGGGGCGAATACAGACGTGTAGTGCCAACATCTCCTTAAGTGGTGAATTCAGAACCGTGTGCGTTCGGGAATGTGAACAGTTACGGAAATTGGCAAGAAATTGAGATGCTGTGGCTGCCATCAGGACAGCTACTAGGACTCTTTGATTTTTTCAAAATCCATGACGTTTGTTGCATATGTTAGCCTGCAGACCTTGTATGCGGTCGCAAAACGTCTTGGCATTTTGATTTCATTCCACATTTTGAATACCGTTTTGTAATGTTTGTAATTTGTAGCGGTTAATTGGTTGCATACATGTACTCTTCGATTGCAAACATTTGTAAGATTTACATTTCTTAGAAATGTAAAATTTAATTTTATGGGATCTTTGATTTCTAGATATGGTTGTTAATTTTGTTGGAAGCTATTGTGTCCTATTAATGTTTTCTTACAATTCCTTTTGGACATCACCTTATCATCGTAGGATCTTGAGAGATCCAGTTCTTTTAAATTGTTGTGAATATTGGCTTTTACCTCCAATTAATTTTGAGTAGCTTGAGTTAAGACACTACATTTTTAAACAATTTTTATGGTGTCTACTTTGAATATCTTAATTGTTTAAAATTCATATATTTAAAAGTCACATTTTTTCGGCAGCATTTCGTCTGACCTGTTAGTTCCAGTGTTGCGGTCCGTGTGGATTCAACGATCCCAATATAATCTACATACGTTACTTTAGGTCATCAATTTTTGATGGCACTTGTAATATGGATCAATTCGTACCTAGTGATTAGCTATTGATATATGCTTCCCTAATACAGTCACGTTGTCTATTCTATCCAAGATTGGTGCAACTTATAGTGACATATTTTCAGTTTGACGACATCCAAGTCGGCATTCAACGAAAATTACAAGCACTATTTTACATTAACTTTTAAGTAGTTTGTCCTTTTCATTTGTGGAAGTGGTTGCGTGGATGTAAACCAATTTGAAGCCATTTTGTCTATTTTCTCTTGGTTGCATTCATTTGACTTAACGGTCTAGTAGTTTCTTCCTGATAGGTGGTGTTTATTAAGCTTTCTTCATTTTAAGTGGACTGTACTCAGATTATTATTAGCAGTGCAAAGCGTGTAACGCCTTTTTTATTGCTTCGCTATCTCATAAAAGAAATCTCTGAGAACTTTTGTTTTCAAGTTATTAATGCCTATCAGCTCCTTTCGTTATAGGTGCCTGGAGAAACAAGCCAGTCGTTTATTTGACGACTTTGGCTGATGTTTCCATATTGACAGTAATCTGACCCAGACTATCGGTTTAGTGAAATTAGATGTGAATGAACTAGAAAAACTGGAGAAAAGAGCAGGGGTTTCAATGCGGTTATTATTCGTGGAAATAACGAATTGTAAAAGTTCGCTGAACTATTTCATTATAAATTGTCGGGTACAAGATTATTAGACCGCTTGCTTATAGTTCATTAAACTATACAAATTGAAAGTTTAAGTGTAAGAAAACACCGGTAATTAATCAAACTTATCCGTTTTCTCCTCCTCTTTTCATTTTGCTTATAATAGGCTAAAATCATTACAACTAGATGTTTCCCACTACTACTTGGAATAAAGAAAAAGCGCAGCAAAACAAAACTAGAGAAAAAGTGTATGTGTTTATATTTGTGCTTGTGTATATATGTCTTAAACACAACATACTATTTAATACAAAAGAAACTCGATTAGAAACTAAAAATTGTTAAAAGCAAGGAGAGAAAAAAAGAGGAAAAAAATCTTAAACCAAATTATAAACTGTCGGTGTAGCTTTAATTAAAACCAACCGAGACAGGAAACAGTGATTTAAAAGATTCTAGAATGGCGAAGAACTTGCAATCATAACAAAAGCAACAAAAGAAAAGAAAAAACAAATTCGTTTAATAAAGCATTTCTATTATATAAAAATGTTAATATAAAACATCACTACCAGACGCTCTTAGAAAATGAAACGCACACATATTACAAAGCAAGTATTATTAAAAGTGACAAGAGAGATTCGGAAAAATGTAGAGAATATCCAAAATAAATTGTAATCGTGAGCACAATCTCATCGACAGCACGGCATTTAAGTATAGCGCAACCAAAACTATTAGCTCATCAATTCAAATCAATTCTGCTTGAAACCAATAACAATAGTTGACGGAAGTTTATGCTTGTGCTTACATGTGTGCGTGTGTGTGTTTGTGTACGTAATGGATGCAATATTATCTCTTTTCACTCGTCGGCGTTTTTCCCATAACCGACATTAATTAGTAATTAAATAAATGACTTCGTTATTACTTAATAGTTCATTAGTGTGCACTTCACTTAACACCGCAACAACAATACACAAAACATTTTAAACAAATGCAGTAAACAACATATAATAAAATTTGTACAAAAAAAATTAACAAATGTGCTAATTTTCAATTCTTCCCTCATTAAATGCAACAACAAAAACAAGGTAAAAAAGCAAACATTGAAATAAATAATATTTTAACATAAGAATTTTTAAATAGTTATGGAACAAAACTCTTTTTTTCTAATATGAAATAAAAAAGAAATATTTTTGCCTTTCTCTCACTTTCGCTCGTTACACTTTATGTACTAAATAGTAAAGCCAGATAATGTGTTCTGCAATTAATAAATACATACGATAATTGAACAATAAACAAATCGCTGAAAATGTTTGTTTATTAAAAAAATTATAACAAAAAAAATGTTTTAAAAATTCACCAAAGTTATAAACTTTTATTACTATGAAAAATTTAGGAAAACATGTTATATATGTAGGTAAAATAATTGGAATTTGTCTCTAACAATTGGACGGTTAAGCATTCTTTAACAACCTTTAGAATAAACAGATGGTAAGTTAATAATAATAAATAAAAAGTTATTCTTTTCTTTTGCTATTTTTATATGGAAAAATTGTTAAAAATTTAAAACCGTTTAAATACAAATAATGGAAAATTAAATGACATGCGGTTTGAAGAAAGTGTAAAGCAATTACCAGTTTGTATAAAGGAGAAAGAAACTTTCGATAACTCGTAGCAGATCAATAACTTATATATACATTATTATATATTATCATACATGGTACATCGTAAACTATTGGTTTATCTTAAATGGGCCCATAGATCAAACTTGCTGGTTCCATTCAACGTGCTAGTTATGAAAAGATTACATTGATTCCCAACTCTAAGCCGACCCATATTCGCTGCGCGAAATAGTTACTTAATAAAACTTTATACATTTTAATTATATATGTAATGGATGAAGAAAGGGGCAAGACGTATGTATATACGCACATTTGATTTGAAAGTGGAAACATTTGGAACACTAAGCCAGATCGTTTCTGGTAGGTTATTGCAAACAATGATGAATCACGGCGGTTTGCCGTGCGGGGTGCGGAAACTTCCAAAACGAGACATTGCAAATTGTAAGGAAGTCGAGTAATGATGGTAAAGGATTTGATAGGTGTACTGAGTTTCTTTATAATTTTATAATTTTGGGATGCTTGCTCTGCCTTATCTATGCGCAGGCATAAGACAACCCTTATTATGCGGACGACCAATTGTATCGAGAGTATTAGGCACAGTCGAGATTTTCGATATACGCGATCGAGGGCCTCCAGGCAAGATTTAGAGGCTTCCGCTCGTCCATGTGAAAAATATTTCACGCTGCTTTGGAAAACCTAAACCTTCAAATACATATTCCGACACCACCAAAGTAGAAGGATTGTTAAACACTTTTCCTGGGCGTAAGAGATCGCAATAAGTTTTGAAGTTGTGCAAGTTTACCCCATTTGTTTGATCCCCGAACCCTTTACTTTACTCAAACGTGCCACTCATCCTGCAATGCCTTTTCTATCCCCTTGTGAAAGAGAACTTATAGCTTGGTTTTATCTCTGGGTGAGATAGGATGTCACCAATCGACATTGAAGATATCTTACCAGATGTTAATTAACCACTGTGTTCATGCTTTGGGCTATGACGGAACAGATTGAAGTTGAGCGATAGCTTGCATCATTACTAGAGTTTACCTCCGTGGGTGCAGGCTGGGCATTAGCAAACGTTCAGCGCTTGCTTAAGAGGTTGGCAACTGGCGTTGCAACTGTGCTGTATTGGCTTACTTTTCATTAGTGCATAAAGAATGAACCGACTTATTATTATTGTTTTTAAAAATATTATTTTGTTAAGGACCTCATACACTATTAAACATTAGAAGTTTTGGCCATGTAAGCGTCTACTATTTATAGACATTTTTCAACATTTACTTAATATTCCAATATGTTAGGTTTCACTAACTTCATCGCAAATTTTTTTCATGTAACAACTTCTATAAAATAAAATGGGGGAATGTTTAGTCAAAAAGGATCCGATTCAATTGATTTTCAAACACATCAGCTTTGCATCTTTTAGTGATATTCGTAACAGATTTATGCTTAGACACAGCTTTTTCTTTCCAAGGATCACTTTTTTTTCAAGGATTCTCAAGTAAGCGAGGTAAACGCCAAAATTTCACTTTTATATACGCTGTAGTTTGTTGATAATGTTATACTGTACTTCCGCTTAATCTGCGAAGTTCTGTAAAACTTCTTTGCCTTTGTAGTTTATTCACACTAATTTCGAAAACATTTTTGAGAACTTCAATAAAGAAAAAAAGAGAAGGATAAACGTTCAGAAGTCATGGCTGGCTCCAGCCAGAATCCCATACATGTATTTACTAAATTTAAAACCAAGTTGAAAAGAAAACTGATTATAGAGAGTTACAGCCCGACTAAGGCTTTTTCACATATAAGGACTTTTTGTGGGTAGGGTAGGACGTGCGTACACTTTAGCAAATCAAAACTCCAGCTCTTTAACCCATCCATACAAGGATATTTTTAACAGATTAATGTTAGTTTTATCAATAGATTTAAAATTTGCTAGAGCACACGCTCTTGTTTTCTTTAACGCAGTACTCCGCAATAATGCGACGTACATACATTCGTTGCTGCAAAGGAAAATAGAAATATTATTTAGGATTGATTCAACTTTTCGGGAAAATATTGATTGTGATACAAAAATTTCATTAAATATTTACAAATTCTTGTGCAAATACTTGCACAAATAAATAACACATCGACACGGATGACACCATACCAGACGATGACAGAAAATTAAATTAATTTTCTTGATTGCGATTTGATTTCATTATGCGGCGGCTAAATAATTGAATTAATTTAAATGCATAGCTTGAGATGTTAAAGATTTATGGAAACTGAGGAAAGCTAAGAAGAAAACTTGAAATTATAATCTTTTCTTAATTCATGTTGGCTGCGTGTTCTTATCGTTAACATAAAAATTAATCGATTTCTAAAAGTAATCAACATAATATTTAATATATAAGCAAGATACAAAGAGATAGATAGATAGATAGATAGATAGATAGAGAGAGAGAGAAAGAGAAAGAGAGAGAAAGCTAACGAACCACAAGTTACAAGAACACTTTACTCTATGGCGAAGGACGAATAATATTTCTTGCGATTGTTCATTCGAAGGCTTAAGACACGTGACTGCGAACATGTATTCCCACGATTGTCAATAATATCAGCTTATATGTAAATGGATGTGTAAATGATTGCCAAGATAATTGAAAATGTCGCTAAAACTTTGCGTTACTCATACCTTCTCCTTCGTCTCCCGTTCCAGTCTTCTTCCATCTATCGCTGCGCCTACTACTACTACAAACTGTGCCAAGTTTTTCTTACGTCAGCAACAAAAATTTTCTACTTCTAAGAGCAAATGAAAGCCTAACAAAAAGAAGGTGATAAATTATTTGAACATAAGACATTGAGTAGAAGAAAATTTACACTTGTTTAATTATATAAATATGTTCATGTATATTGTAACTACAAGATATTAGAATGAAGCTAAACTAACCAGATATTTATGTTAACAAAGCCAGTCGTAAATAATTATTACAATTTAAAAAAAAAAAAACATTTTTATTTCGTCTTTGCTGCGAATTCTTATCTAAGACTTCCTTCACACCACAAAGCTCAGTTTGTCCAGGTTAGTTTATTTCTCCGAAAAAAAAATATAATATAATAAAATATGTATTCGTTATTTGCGTGTGATTGACTTCAAGACACTTATGTGTACGATACAATGCAATATATAAGGCGCCAATGAATACATGAAAAATGCCAAAACGTCATCTTGTTTGCTACTTAAGTTTCCGACATTTGTGTAGTATTTTAAATTTCAATAAAAATTGTACAAGTCTCTCGTTTGCAAATCGGAAGCCCTGGTAGCGTTGCTTCCTTCAATTTCAAGAAATAATACCCTTTTTCATTGCATTCATTATAACTTTTTAAGAACGGCGGAAAAAATGAAAGAAAAGTGAAATATTAATCCGGTTTAACAACATAACATAGGCTGTACCTTCCCTTTCCATTTGACAAAGTCTCATCGATTTGAAAGCTTTAAAAAATATACATTGGATATTCTAAGCGATTTCTTATTAAAGCACAATCGTCCTTTCAGATAATCGATGTAAATTGGCGACCAATTATATATCATTATCTGCTTTAAGTTAATTAAATAATTTACAATAGCCTTTTGCAAGTTTCGTTTTTCAAACAGTTTCCCAATTCTTTTAAGGTTGTCTGTGTACCTATTAGGGTTATTTTAAGGCTCGATTTGCAAATAAATAAGAAAAATAAATAAATGACCTCTGCATGAACTTTGACGGTCTTATGAGAAAGTTTTAGTACGTCAAGCGATTGGCGTCGCCCAAAAATCGCATACATGTTCCTTATAATATTTCTGAGTTTCACATAAGCACTGATAAAAAGGCATTACTTCATTATTCGCAACAGGGAGTAAAAGTTTGTGATAGCGTTGTACGTATGGTGTAATGAAAAGATGAATTAGTCAGCAGTATGTCTACAAACTTAAAATGCACGTCACAATGAAAAGAATTGCATTGTGAAGACAACGAAAAGGCTAGAATTCTAGTGCATTATATGGTAAACGAAAGATAAAATTGTTACTCGCTTACCGATGATCTTTTCCCGCTGTTCAGCCGACAATGGTAATTCTTTGCTATTAAGATCTTTTCAGTGATGATTTCCTTGTACATCTTAACAATTTAGTTTTATTTTTGAGTGGAGACGCCACAGTTTGTAAAACACACAATAGAAACCGCTAAAATTTTGTAAATGTGCTTTCAGTGAATAAAAAGTAAAAAAACTGCATTTGCTTGCGACTGAGTTTTTTACACCCTACACTATTATTCCAAAAAAACAAGTGAAAAAGTTATATCCGGCGGGGAGCGAAGCTAGAATACCCACCACCATACTTTTCGCATTCCAAGTTCGTTTATTTGATACCCATATCGCTGGTATTATTAAGAGAGAAGTAATGGCGATGTTTTTCGTATTCATTTTAAAATTAACCCATTTTTACGCAGATGAAGTATGTAAAAAATTGTTTTAAACATTTTGACTACTTTGTGGTATGATAAATAAGTAAAAAAACAAAATTTAATCACTTGTAACTTTCCACGGGCATGGTCCATTTTTGTACGCAGAGAGTGAAGGGTTTCGTAAAGTAAATGTGGAGAATTTTACCCCTTTTATAATTTCTGAGTAAGGAGCAAATATCCACAAATTTTTCTTGAGAAAAGCACTTGAAGTTGACATCTTAATTTTTGCGATTAGCTAGAAATACCACACAGACGGATAGATATGGCTAAATGAACTCAGAATTTCACTCTGATGAAAAATATATACATTTTGTAGGATATCTGAAGCGCCCTTTTGTATGTTACATACATTATGGAAAAAAACAAAATGCGTATATCCCCATTTTACAGTGGTTGGTATAAAAAAAATCAAAACGGAAGATGTTAAATTTTCATACTCTACAATGTTGCGTTCTGTTTTTGTATAATGAAAATGTGAAGAAAATATCTTCTTTTTTGCGACCAGGAAACTGTTCATCACAGGCATTAAATAAATGGACAGACAGATGAATATTAAATCATTCAGAATTTGATGCTGACAAGGAATATGTATACTTTACGAGATCTTCGACGGTTTTCTCGGTATGTTGCAATCAATTTTGACAAATAACTACATCGTTCATCCATCGGTGATCGGTATAAAAAGGGAGAAAAAGTGAGGTTATCGGATAAACGCACTCTTTTATTTTTGCATTAATGCCATTGAAGTAGCTACGCTTTTCGCATCGCTTGCAATGCGAACAACACGCACTATAATTGATACGAAATAATTTATTTTCCTACCGTAACAGTAAAATAATTGTTGCTTTGCTCTTTTGACCACTCCTATGTTTATCTACCTTTCTAAAGAAATAATCACCGCATGTTTACATAAATGATTCATAATTACTTCTATTAGTTTAAAGAAAACAAAATACTTATCAATGAAGGGTGTTTACAAGCCTTTTATCACATGTAAATACACAGTGCACATATGCATAACTATACCCGTTTTGAATATGAAATAAATTAACGCATAAATATAAATTTATGAAATTTTAATACGTTTTCTTCTTTGACAGTTTATCTTAAAACGGAAACGCAGTATTCAAAACATACATATGTGCGTATATGTAAAGAACAAGACACTACGCGAGAGGCTTTAGTGCGGGTGTTTTTGTTGTGAAAGTATTATGATAAACTTTAGTTTCATAGAAACCCGCGAGAAGAAAACAACTTAAGTACATAAAAAGAATTAAGAGATAAAATAGAAACAAAATAAATTTAAAATCTATTTTTAAAAATTGATTAAACTTTACCAACTTTCTAATAAAAATGCAGTACGAGAGACCCTTAAGCATCTTTTTTCTATGTGAAGTTTTTTTATTTATGTTCTCTTTTCACGGGGTATTAATTTCAGCTTATAACGTTTCAATCACTAATAATAAAAAAAACTGTACCTCATTGGAGGTAACATTTGCTAACGTAAAAAGAACTCGTATCGTCTCAGTGCCGGTTAATAATTTTTTGTCGAAATTCTTTAAAAAAACGACTACCAAACTTGAAACGTATCTAGATGAAGAACCCGTGACAAGAGAAGTCTGTTGCAAAGGTTACAAATGGCATTCACAAACTGATTTATGTCAACCTGTATGCGCACATAATTGTCCGGAACATTCGATATGTGTCGAATCGAATTTTTGTGAATGTAAAGAAGGTTATTATTCAGCTCTTACAAAGCCTGATGGCAAGCATTACTGTGAACCGATCTGTGAGCAGCCCTGCTCACCTCACAGTGTATGCTTAAAACCTAATGAGTGTGCTTGCCAAAAAGGCTATCAGATGGCAAAATCTCAACACATAAAAATATGTGAACCTATATGCGAGATGGCTTGTCCTCCAAAAAGTATTTGCAAAGCACCCAATGAATGTGTTTGCGAGCCGGGGTATTTTATAAACACTACCGACTGGTTGTGTAAACCGTATTGCAGGTCACTATGTCCTCAAGGTATTTGTATAGCACCAGGTCAATGTGCTTGTGAAAAAGGTTATAAGGCACTAAAAGGCACTTGTACACTTGAGTGTGATTCAGAGCAATGTTCTGATACTTTAATGTCAGCTGAAACTGAAGACATTGACTTCAGTTACCCAGACGTAGGTATTGAACACTCCACTCAAGTTACAATAGAAACGGACACTACTCACGATTTTTCCGAAGAACCCATACACAAATGTTCGCAAGATTACGTTTACTATCGCGGCCAATGCCGACCGTTAAAGTTTTCTAGCACTAATTGTCGCATGGAGCCTTGCTCGGATCTTAATGCTGTCTGCCTGCAGAACGGTACATGCAGATGTCGCGAGGACTATATGGTCTTAACATCTCTTCAAGGAATTGATAGTAATAAATGTGTTACTCTAAAGGATTATGAATTTCATCTGCAAAGCTTAAATGGTGGCGATAGCAGAGGAGATACCTTTGAAACTTCTTATAGCTGGATACTGTTGGCAACAGCTGCGATAGGAATAACTGTAGCCTTAGGTTCTTTAATCGCGTTTTTAGTGAGAATTATACGGAAACCACGTGGACATTTGAATATTGGAGGTGCGATGATATGCGATTAAAAAAAAGTTTTTTCTTTAATTTTTTTCTTTCTTTTTATAATTTAGCTAAAAATCTGTCTTGTGTTTATGACAACAAAGCTTGTATCGAAACACCGAAAACAAATATTTAATGAAGCTGGATTTCTTGAAAACTTCATTTTGACTAAAATTTATTTAAAATTGAATACACAAATTTTTATAGCATTTTTTTTTTTAAATCATTTATTTCCATTATAAAATATATGTTAGTTCATATTTTCAAATTTTTCCTTTCATAACATTTTCATTTTTTACTCTTCAGTTTAATTTGTAAATCATGTATTTTTTTTTTTTAAATATCATAAGGATAAGTATTTGCTTATGTTGAAGTTTCAAAGATATAACAAAAATTTCAGCGAACGCAAAGTTTTTAATGATCTCATGACGCCGTCAGAAGTCTTGATGTTTAAAAACTTTAATTTCATTTTTTTTGCTCCTTCTTTGTGTAACAAATTGAATATTTGTGCTTGTTGAATATCACTTCATGCCAAGGCAGGGAGCAAAAAAGAAAATATGAATAATAACGAGAGATGGGAAACGAACTTTGTGTCGTAATCATTAAAATTTATACAAGTCATAGCGTACAGGACGCATTCAACTAATCTTTTTTTTTAGGAACTTTGGAACTTGGAACAACTTCTGCTGTAGTTCTTTGTTTTTTTAAAAGTAACAAAATTTATGGAGAAAACTATTACTACTATTTTATTTTTTGTATATTTGCCTTCTCTTTCGTTTTCTCTAAGTGAAAAGAATTTAATATGATTTCTCTACTTGAGTCCTTTAAGCTTGAGGCCTTTAAGCTTTTAGAATAAGCTTAATTTTGTGATGCTGGCTTTACCTTTGCACATTTTGCAAAATCTTAGGAAAATGTACTTACAAAAATCCATACAAGCGCATTTATCTTCCAGAAGTTTTAAGTGAAATGTGACATTGGAATTTATATATTTTATAGTGTACCGTTAACCACATTAAATAAACACAGAGAGGTTGCTTTAAGTGTTTAATAAACTTTTAATTTATTGCGCATTTTCGATGGTGTTTGTCTTCTCCATTCAAGTGTTTCGTTTATGGTTTGCTTATTTCTCCTCCATTTATAGTTGCTTCAGCAAACATATTCACAAAAATTATAATTTTTCAAGTGGTGTTTATATTCATACCGGCTGGTTTCTTAAAAGGTATTCATCAATGACAGCAAAATAGATAAAAATAAACACTCTTAACATTTAGTCCAATCACGACTCGTGTTTGTTATTGATTTTACAGTCTTTTAGTAGTCCGCTTTACTTTTCATGTAAAAAAAACGAAAAATATAAAATTAGTTTAATTTAATTATTCAAATATTTCATGGGACTCGGTCTTTGACTAAAACACATAATTTACGCGAAACGGCATTTTATACGGCGGTAATTAATTTAAACAACATTGTATTACATATACTGGTATTCTACTTCTATTATTATATAAGATAAAATGTTATTATATAAGATAAAATGTGGTAAGCTCCTCATATCTCTCTCTCTCTCCCTCTCCACACTTCTTTCTGACCATCACCTTGAAAATATCACCATGATTGGTCATATTCAAATAACAAAACAAAAAAAAAATATATATATATATATAAAGAAGACTGGAAATTATGCTGTAGTTTATTTTCGAAATCGATTTTTTTTAAATAATTGGTAAATTTGGGTTTAGTATTTTAATTATATATGAATTTACAACTCATAAACGTTTAATAAATATCGAGGATAAAGCAAATTGTACTCACTTTCATGAGATATTCCGTAATGTCTCCAATATTATAACTATTACCTCAATACTTCAACAAGACGAACACTTTTTTATAATTCCATTACTAACAGTTGCCGTTGCCAAAAATTTATTTGGCAATCGCTTTCATGTCATAACTTCTTTTATCTGATACAAGTATATGTTATCAAATCTTTAGCTTTAGAAAGACATTTTCCCTTCCCTAACGATACGATACAAATTCGAGTACACCAAGATATGCACATCAATCCCTTATGAAAGTCCAACTCTGGGAAACAAATGCTGCATGCTGCAATCGGGTCACAATTTGAAAAATTAAAAGCGTAAGAGAATGAAAGTTTTTTAGATATAAGGATCGCCGCACAACCACCATAAGAGGTGTTGCAGATCCCATTAGATCTTACCATTTTATAATTTTTCATAGAAAATGAATCATGAGAATTAAGGAAAGCTTCAGAAAGATAAACCACAGAGATGTCATTACAGTGAAGGTATTACTCAGGCTGTTTTAATTTATTGCGGATGCTAGTGCAGTTAAGTTGGATTAAGAGAAAATAGAATTAAGAGAGAAAAGGCGCACGAACTCGAAGAGGGTCGTTGGTTAAGAACACTGAAGGTCGCGAGACAAGCGTGTAGCGGAATTAATAATAGAATTTAATTTGCAGAACGGCTTGACATTATGTAGATTTTGAATATTATCAGAGATTTGAGATAAGTTAGAGGAAGTGGTACAATCAGTAATTATTTCGTGATCGGAAGGAAGTTGGTCAGGATATGAAGATTTTATATTGGAAGGGGAGATGCTAATTTCAGGATTTAACATCGTCTTAGTCATAACTGTGACAACAGACTCAGTGTTTGGTCGTTTGATTGTTGGTTGAGAGATTGGGGGAGGAAACTTAGGGAAGCTATCCAGAGAAATTGAAAAATTTAGATTATTTGGGTGTGCGTAAATATTCCGAGAGAAAAAATACACTTGTGGTTTAAGTCATTCTGCTGCGTCCTTTTTGGATTTAGCAATTTTGTTGCATGATGGATGGCATTTGGAGTTACCATGATGATCACCCTTAGGGTTAATGCATTTTTTGGCATTTTGAGGACAAGTCGAGGAGCAATCGTGGCTTGTGCCATAGGAAGAGCAAAGCAACCTCTGACGTGCACACCTTCTCTGTGTGGTCGAAACGACAACATTTGCGGTATTGTAATATTGGTTCAACGTAAGGTTTAATCGAGAAAAGAATGCATTCCAAATAGATGCGGGAGGATAGAACATTCCCGGAAAAACTTATACGAACTGTGTCCAAAGGCACACGAGAGTTAGACATTTGATCGAGTCTATAAAAGCGCATGGCTTCCCCAACTTTGCGAGAGTCAGGTAGGGAAACGAATTAAAGTAGATTAGAAGATAGATGGGATAGGCAGATGAGTAAACTTTATGCTCGATGAAATCAGAGGAAATAGAAGCAACCCCGCTGATTTCACAAAATTCGGATGGAATGTAAACTTTATACATATTATTAAGTGAAGCATTAGCGGCAACTGGGCGCAACTGCATCGGAAGTGATCAAATTAGTCTTCTTGTTAGAGAGGAAAAATTCTCTAAATTAGGGAAATTATGATATAAATTTCGGCCAAGTTCGATTATTGGCAAAGCATTTTTTCTGGACTGCATTGATACTCTGTACCCACTTCTGGTGTGGGCTTATGTACTGGGGATTTTAATGTGACGATTAGATTAAAATTTTCCCTCACAATACTCGATCGAGTCTGGCAACTCTGTCGCGCGGTATAGTCGTCTATATTTTGTTTCGGCAATTAATATTTTAATTTTTTATTGAATTTCGTGGCTATCTTGCCTTATAGTGTGTGAATTTATAACATACTTTGAGAAGAAAGTGAGTGAATTCAAAGTAAAAGAAATATTTTTTCTTTAGCTTTGATTCATTGAATTTTTGCAAACAAAAATTTTGAGCTCTGATATAAATCTTTTTTTTTTTGTTTTCTCTCTTTTTCTCTGTTATTTTTTCGCTGTTTGTAGTTTGTTTTGCTATTGATCTCTCGTTACAGTGTCAACGCAACAGAGAAGTTTTGCACAAATTGGTTGATAAATTTTTTTGTTCAGGATTTGTTTTAGCGATTTGTGTGTCTGTTCTTCATAATCCACAACTGTCTTTTTGACTGGACATGGAGTGTTTATATACACCTTGTTGGGCGAAAACGGGCCCGGAATCTGATAGACTCGTTTCTTGTTGGCTCTGCGAGCGCTTTGGTCATGCAAAGTGTGCCGGTATTCTCGGTCGTGCTGCTGACGCAGTCGCTGACCCTTCCAAAGGCTTAAGATGGTCATGTCCTGACTGTAGGCAGCGGGACATTGATTTTTATAAACTTTTCACGGAAACCCGTTATGGTTTCTCGGATTTGAGTAGAAATCTCGGCTCCTTGTGGGAAAAGTTTGAGCTCATTAAATCTAGGTTTGATGAGTGTCGTTTTATTGGACACTCATCTTCTACTCGTAGCGTAGCGTGTGGGACGTCACCTCCGGGTTTCTCCAAATCAGATTCGTTGATACAAGTTACCGCTCCCTCTAACTCTAAAATGAACAGTAATGTTTCCGATATTGCTGAGTCGGTTGGTAGCAAAACAGTTACAAACAAACCGGCAAGTCCGTCGGTTGAAAGCTTATTGTCATCGTTCTACAATACATTAAATCTACCTATTGCTGCATCTGCTCCGATCAAGCAGTGCCGACCTCGAAGCAGGGGTCTCCCGTGGTTTAATAAGACAATTAAATATTATAAGAACAGAAAAAACACGCTGTTCAAAATTTATTCGAGAAGTGTCTCTGTTCTTGACTATTTCGCTTACTCCGTGGCAAGGCATAGATTTAACTCCCTCAACCACCATTATTATTGCAGACACCTTCAGTTCATTAAATCCTCTCCGTTTGCTAATCCTAAATACTTTCTTAAATTTGTTAATTCGAAACGAAAAATTTCCACATATCCCTCGCATGTTTCTTTCAATAGGTCTGATTCCTCGGATGATTTTGAAATCTCAAATCTGTTTGCTGAGTATTTCCGACGAAACTTTCCGATTGCTAATTTCGATTTATCAGCAAACTACCCATATCCTATAACTAACTCTGTCTCAATTCCTAACTTAGTAATTTCAGAAGATGATGTTTTTAAAGGCTTGAACTCTCTAAAACATTGTTGTGCGCCAGGACCTGATGGAATTCCATCATGTGTACTTAAATCTTGCGCTGTCGAGTTATATGGTGTTATCTCTAAGATATTTAACCGGTCTGTGAATTTAGGTGTTTTCCCTTTGTGTTGGAGGAGTAGTTTCCTCATTTCTATCCACAAGAATGGAAGTAGAC